ATATCGTAGTTACCATAGTAACTAGCAATCATTACAGCATTTGATCCATCTGATGTCTTCAGGTGAGGATTAGCATTAGCTTGTAGTAGCATATGAATGATTGAAATGTGATTATATTTACTTGCCATCATTAGTGCAGTCCATCCTTTATTGTCCTGAATGTTAACATTAGCTCCAGCAGACAGTAAACTGTGTACAATGTCCTCATGTCCTCTTTCACAAGCTAACATTAGTGCTGTCTTGCCTTCTTCATTAGTATGATCAATATTAACAGTTTCCAGTTGAAGAAGAAACTCTACTGCTTCATTATTACCAGCTGTGACTGCCTCAAGGAGAGCTAGTTCAAAGGTGAAGTTCATATCTTCATCTTCTTGAAGGACAGGATGATCATTAATGTATAAACTAAATATACCAATGAGACGTATAAACTGTAACTTTCCTCCAGTATATTCTATTAGACTATCAGCTGTAACGTCAAGAATATGTAACTTGATGACAACAGATCCTGACTCAATAGTGATGCATTTCATTATTGACTGTCTAAGTTCTATTGGTAATAATTTTTTAATCAAAATATAAAGTCCATTAATCTTAACATCATTCCAAGGATTTTGTAGTTCAATACAGATCAATGGCATATTCTCTAACTGTCGTCTATAAGGTCCATACACTTTTCGTAGCTTTTGTTTAAGTTCAGTGATTGGTCTTGATGAACGAAATGCATTAGCTTTCAATGAATAAGCCTTCAGTTCATCAAGTAGATCTCTTTCATCACTTATAAACTCATTACACATAGCTACTATTAGACTACAGTCAATGAAATCATAACTATGGTGAATCTTCTTGAAAATATCACCTAAATCATTATCTAATGTACCATATTCCCAGTGAAGGTAAGTTTCTACCCAATTAGATATTTCAAAGGAAAATCAAGAATTTTGGATTGTTTTTTCGTGAAATGCTGATTTTACTTCTTTCATGATATGAGAAAAATTTACTTGCAAATCATTCAAAGAGTCTTGAACTGCTTGATCTTCATTGTGAAAAAAAATAGTTTCAACATCTCCTATAAAACAAAAGTTTAAAATTCAGCATCCACTATTCAACTTTCTTAAAAGCAACTTTTTGGTTACTTTGATGTGTTGTGACTGTTGTCATCTTGTTGCCTGAGACAACAACATTGCTTTCAAAAAAGTTAAATAGTGGATGGTGAGCTTTAAAGATTATATTTGCACTCTGTCCAAAAGAATAATTTCAACTGGACATATGTGCAAGTTCAAATTTTTCACTGTGAAGATAAATTTAATTAACTGCTACCTTTTGTCTGTTCAAGTCACATAATGTAATATACACAATAGCAATTAAAAAGTAGTTCATGTCATCTAGCCTATACAACTTAATTACTAGCCTATACAACTTACCATCAGAACATGATGTTCTTGGTGATAATAATGACATTGCAGAGGCAGAATCACTGTTTATGTGATCTTTAATATCTTGAGCTAGTTTATTCTGATTTCTATTAGTCAGTGCATCAATGACATCTCTCCATGTTGCTTTAGGATTAACTGATAACCATTTTGAGTACAGTGCTGACTTTTGTTCATCAATTTTCACATTTTCTGCTTCAATCTTTGAAATGTCAGAATAAGTAATTTCTGGTAGGCAACGACCAAATGGTTTCCAGTCAACAAGTGGTTCAAGCCATTGAGTTAGCAATGAAATATCAGGTCGATCATCAATCATAGGACCAGGATTGAGTTCGACATCTCCTGATAAGAGGAGGAGCATACGTAGACAAACAATCAAATTGAGATCATTGTAAATCAGGTTAAAACTGCTGCCTCCAGGTAACACTACTGACTGGAGGTAATTTGCATCAGTAACAGTAACAGTAGTAGTACATTGTACTTGGTAGCAGTTACCTAATAATAAAATACGAGTAAATATACAAGTACAAAGTTGCAATTGTTGTTTACCTGTTGGAGGAATCATCAAGATGTGTCTTAATAAAGAGAGAGAGTGAAAGAGGAGGAGGAAAGCAATAAGAGACAGAGCTGCTGGCAGTTTAGATGTCTTCTTTCCTGATGTAGTATTGCCTGACTTGCTGTCTACTGCAGCTTTGAATGAGTGAGAGTGGTGGCCATTAGCTGGTCTACTGGAAGCAGCTTGACAGTAGTTCCACAGTCCAATACTTGCTCTCCATTGAGAGACATCAATCATTTTGTAACTATTAGCGTTACTTTTGTAATGGCGTGAAAGTACCTATAATATCCAGTCACTTATATCATAAAGTGCAAGCACAACAGATGACTGCATACTTTATTGTTGCTCAAGTGATACAAATTGATTTAGTTATGCTAGATCTTTTATTCTACTACAGTTATTATTGTAATTTGACCAAATTTGGTGATTTTATACTATGCCCATTCATTTCTATTTCTGTAAAAGAACTAGGCTTATTTGTGTTATCTAGATCTATTATGTTTCAACACTGATAAAATGTGTAACCATGTTTTGATTGATGCATTGCTGCTAAAAGGCAATAGAAGTCAATCAACAAAAATCCTTTAAACTGCAATCAGGAGCCCATCAAATGTTAAGGTGAATAGGTCCATACTCTATAGAACCAGTATGAAGGATAGGTGCATTATAGTATGTGTGCGGTAAATGCTACACTTCCACATATTCACTTTCATAGTCTGCGTAGGACTGTACATGTAGCTAAACATTTGCCATCTGAGAATATTTTAATCGTACGTGTACATAAAGTATCATCTCCTCCCATTCAAAAATTATAATTTTAATTCAGATAGTGCAGTATATAATATAACTAGTTAATTAACCATTATAAATATTAATAACCACACCCACAAGTGATACACAGAGTAACTAACTACTATTAAAGCCACACCCACTAATAATAAAGGTACAGTATATTCACGAGTTTCTTGTGTGCGGAGATTTTCTTGCATCAGCTGGACTTTAACCTGTAACCTTGTAGCTCTCTCTTCTCTCAGTCTCCTCCTTAATTCAGAGGCTTCCCTGGGGAGAGAGGAGGGGAGGGAGGGAGAGAGGGGGAGAGAGGGAGAGAGAGAAAGAGAGAGAGTAAGGTGCATGCAAAAAGGAAGAGAAGATTAAACTTTGGTAAACATACTTAAAAGATTTGGCTATAAAAGATTGATTCTGACTTTAATTTTTCAAGTTATGGCCCTTTTCTGAAAATGGCCAATTTTTTGAAAAGCCCATGGTTTTTTCGAAAAAATGGCTCCGAAATCACACCAAATTTTTATTACATTTTCTGATACACATTCATGTCCTTATGCTGTGTAGAAAGTTTGAGCTGATTCCGACTTCAATTTTTCGAGTTACGGCAATTTTTAAAAACGGCCAATTTTTGAAAAATATCCAAGGCTATAGCCCATGGTTTTTTCCGAAAAATGGCTCCAAAATCATCCCAAATTTTTATTACATTTTTTGATACATATTGATGTACTTATGCTGTGTAGAAAGTTTGAGCTGATTCCGATTTCAGTTTTTCGAGTTATGGCCATTTTTAAAAACGGCCAAATTTTGAAAAATATCCAAGGCTATAGCCCATGGTTTTTTTTTGAAAAATGGCTCCAAAATCATCCCAAATTTTTATTACATTTTTCGATACACATTGATGTACTTATGCTGTGTAGAAAGTTTGAGCTAAGTTCGACTTCAATTTTTCGAGTTATGGCCATTTTTAAAAACGGCCAATTTTTGAAAAATACCCAAGGCTATTATAGCCCATGGTTTTTTTTTGAAAAATGGCTCCAAAATCACCCCAAATTTTTATTACATTTTTTGATACATATTGATGTACTTATGCTGTGTAGAAAGTTTGAGCTAAGTCCGACTTCAATTTTTCGAGTTATGGCCATTTTTAAAAACGGCCAATTTTTGAAAAATACCCAAGGCTATAGCCCATGGTTTTTTTTTAAATGGCTCCGAAATCACCCCCAATTTTTATTACATTTTTCGATACACATTGATGCCCTTATACTGTGTAGAAAGTTTGAGCTGATTCCGATTTCAATTTTTCAAGTTATGGCATACAAATTTAATGTTCAAAATTATTCCTAAATCATACATCTACTCATGTACATGTAGTGTACTTATAAACACATTCGATCATTTATTATTATTATTATTATTATTATTATTATTATTATTATCTGACCTTTGCTAATATGATCAGTAACTCCTGGTTCATCTGATTTCTTCTTATCTTTATTAAATTGTGCTAACTCTAACTTTGTATCAAAATCATCAGTCCAGGAATGAGGCTATTAATACATGTAATTAATTAATTTATTATTGTTAATTAATGAAGACCACACCCACCATTATTTGACGAATAGCTGAGCTGTACTGATGCCAGGAGAGCTCTCCTTCATGTAGTAAATATTTATGAAATAATAACTTGAAATGCTACAAAGAAAAGAACTACATGTACATCATGTACATGTGTATAAAAGTATACATGTACATATACTATATACCAGTTGAGTTTGGGACAAGAAAAACTGGAATAACTTTTTATAGGAACGTGGGATAAGGATGAAACTTTCATAGGTTCTTAGTCGCCAAAGTCCATCAAAATCTATGAAATCTTGGGTCTCTCAACTCTTGGGAACCCTGAGAACCGGGTTCTCCCTATAAACCCAATGGCATACCAAAATGACGTTTTGTGACAAATTATCTACGTCATAGTTTACATAAGAACATGTGGTCGAGAGCGCAAACTGATAATTCTTGTTTTATAAAGCTAACAGAGCAAGATCTTCTGATAATGATGGCCTTTATGAAGACTAGTTGACTCCAGTAGCTATTGTACTGCTTATCATGAAGAGCAAGACTGTTTTAAGAGTGAAACAACACTGCCGCCCATGCTTCTATGAATATCATTAAAATACGTCATTTTGTGACGTAGCTACATTTTTCAAATTCCACGCAGCTGCTTCCACTTCCGTCCCAAACTGAACTGGGATATAGTATACATAACTATACAGTACAGTAATACTGTACATGTCATGTACATGTATGATGAGATACAAATTAAGCTACATCTAAACAAGGATTTAGTGTGAAATATTTCTAAGAATACACATGCACATGTAGCTATACAATTATTAAGACAATAAAATTCTCTCAAACTTTAGACAGTATCTCCATCTTATTCTGCTGCTGCTAAAAGCTCAAAAAGTGGCCATATACAATTACCATACAAGCTAGGGGCCAAGCACTTTAGAGATGTACATGAATGTCTTTGGTGGATTATCTTAGGCATGAGGAAACCAGTTCTCTGTCTAGTGTACACAGCCACCAGGACAATAATGAACCCAATAAACAATGACAGTATAGTGGAGTGGAGGAAACCTGATCTATGGACCAGTGATAATCCTATCAGACTAAAGAAAAGACTATGATAATGTTAGGAAAACAATTCAGTTGAAGCTTAAAAATAACAATGTACATGTACATGAATAATAATACATAAAGTAGGTCCAATTACTATGAACAGTTTCATTCTCATACTTAACCAAGTATTGCATTGTGTATACATGTAGTATTACGAAATGTAATGAACACATGACAATTTTTGCATGGATGAGCAATGATTAGCAAATCAGTCAGACAGCCAATATGCCATGTTTGCTTCATTCTATATACAAGTTTTATGGCCTATGTCATACAGCTAAAATTTCTGTGGCCCGATTGGCTAATCACTTGTCACAGACCAAATAAAATCCTTACCATTAAACTGACACTAGTATTACAGTACATATACACACATTACTGTGTAGGGGGTAAATTTGGAGGGGATAAATTTTGGTGAATTGCTAAATTTTGGTAATTGGCGGGTTTTAATTTTGGCAAATTTGTGGCCACGTGCCATTGAGCATGCGTATAATGGCTCAAAATGGTGGGGTTTTATTTTGGCGAATGGCTATCAAAATGCCAAATTCGCCAAATTTAATCCCCTCCAAAATTACCTGCTATACGGTATTTTAGTCTGTTAATTCTCACCCATGCTGTGTTTGTATTATAATGTCATTGGATGAATCATCAGTGAAGTCACTAATGACTGGTTTGGATAAAGGAGGAGATGAGAGTATGTGTTGGACTAGTATTGAACCATCAGTAGCATCCAATACTGTCACTGAATACCAGCCTATCAGCAATATATGATCAACTACATTTCAGGAACATTTCAGTATGTTCTACAATACTATTATGAAATATTTCCTGTACGCATCGGGTGAGTCAATGTATTGGTGGGTGTGGTCTTACCTCTCAATTAATAAAGGTGTAAATGGCTCTGTGTTCTTATGATTAACTTTCTTACATTTGTACTGATTCAATTTTGGTATCCACTCTAAAACAAAATAATATAATAATAATAAAATATTTATTTATATGATTACTTTCAGTTGCAATGAATGTCTCAGTCCAGTGGGTAGCTTTACACACCGAGTGTCTGAATATGAGTCTGAATATCCTCTAAAATTATAAATATTGTAAATTAAATAATCAAAATAATACTTTAGTACTAATGTGTTGTATACACTCATTCACTTTAATGTACATGTACATGTGCTAACTTTTTTGTTGCAAACAGCTTGTCCAGAGCAATCCATTTCATTATGTTCATTGATAATTAATATCACCAGGCTTGTACTCTGTAATAGGAGAATGATAATTATGTTATGTTCATATTATTAGTATTTATTTACATGTACACTTTCTCTCCTTTTTTCTTTTCCCTCTCATTCTCCCTTCAACATACTCCTTATAATGTACATACAGTAATGCTTTCCTTCCCTCCCTCCCTCTCTCTATAATGCAAAATTTCCTTATTCTCTTTTTGCTTCATTTCATTCACTAAGTCCTGTCTCTTCTTCAGTAACATATTTATTTCTTAATCAATAACTGTAAAAACATGTACGGTACATGTATCATAATTGGCATGCATGCATGCAGCAAATATTTCTAACAATTGTATGCTGAGTTTATACATGTATCTTTCCTAGCAATCACTTCGACATCAATGTCCAAATCACCTGGTAATTATTCAATTTCTTTCATGTTGTTCATGGAAGTGACGAATATTTTTGAGTCAGTCTCCTGCATCAATGTCACACGTTGCGACAAGGTGAATGTTGGTCTCTGAAACATTTTGCAATGAAAGGGCATTGAAACATACTGCATACATGTACATGTAAGTGTTATCAGGTCTATATAAAGGAGTCACAAATCAAGGGATCAATTTTGAAAAAGCCTACTGTGACACAACTCTAGTTTAGAATCTTCCTTTTTCCAGAAAATGCCTTCAAGTGAAGGTAGACTCGAGTTCTGTCCAGTTCCGTCTAGTTCAAGTCGAGTCATTTGAACTCACTTCAATCATATCTATGCTTCAATGGAATCAAATCAATGGCGCCTTCTATTAATTTAAAATTAAAATAATACTGCGCGTGAGCAATGGAGCACCTTAATAGAGGGGAGGGGCTGCATGGATATGCATAAAAAA